CTCAGGAAGCTGCTCAAGTCTTGGAGTCAGTACAAAAAGGGCTACTAAATGTAAAACCACGAAAACTTGCTTGAAAAAATGAAGAGCTACTCTCACAGCTTAGAAGACTGAACCTACAGTTAGAGGAAATGCCTCAGGAATGATGGCACACTGGGTGACCTGGCAGGACTGCAGAAAGACTCAGACTGGCAGTTCATTGAAATGCAGAGAGACGCCAAAAGACAAATTAGTAAATACAAATTTAAGCTTTAAAAAGCTGAACAAGATAAAATCACCTTGGAGCAAAGTGTTAGCCAGCTTGAGGGATAGGTGCTGAGTTATAAAACTGCTGCTGAAAATTCTGAGGAAGCTGAAGATGAACTGAAAGCAGAAAAGAGGATGTTACAATGAGAGTTATAAACATCAGACAAGATTGAGGAGATGGAGACGACCAGCAGTCACCTGGCCAAGCAGCTGGAGAAGATAAAGAACAATAAGACAGCACTTCTGGCCCAGAAATAGGAAGACCACCCTTCAACTTGAGTGCTGCTCTCTGGAGCCCAGCCCAGAGGGAGAGATTCTTGTTGTCCATTGCCACTGAAACTACTTCAACATAATAAAAGCATATATGTTTAAAAATGCTTAAAATGGAAACTCTTGTGTTATACATGTTTTACCATAATAAAAAAATAAAATAAAAAATAAAAACAAATTTAGAAAAAGAAAAAAGAAAAATTAAAATTAAGAAAAGACATGCAACATATTTACTGGTGGAAAATATCGCAAAACATATATCTGATAAAGGATTTATAACTAACATATGCATAGAACTCTTATACGTTGATAATAAAAAGACAAACCAAATTCAAATGGGCAAAAGGTTTTAAGACATTATGTCAAAATGTAGATGAATGGCTGATAAGCACATTAAAATATAACCATTAGAGAAAGACAAATTAAACAGCCATGGGATACCATTTTGTACCCACTAGAATGACTATAATTAAAAAGATTTGCACGGAAATGTTCATTGCAGCATAATTCTAACGGCTAGTTGGAAACAGCTTATATGTACATCAGATGGTGAAAAAATAAACATAGTGTGGTATATGCATATACTTAAATGCTATTCAGCATGAAAAGGAACCAACTATGGATACATGTTACAGCATACATGAATCCCCAAATCTTTATTCAGTGAAAGAAGCCAGACAAATAAGACTACAGGTGGTATGATTCCATTTAAATGAAATACCCAAAGAAGGCAAGGCTATAAAGACAGAAAGTAGATTGGCAGTGCCTATTGCAGGAGTAGAAGGTGTAATGGTAATTAACAGCAATTGTTCATGAAGGATGATATTGGGAATATGAACATGTCCTAAAACTGATTCATGGTGGTTGATGCAGTTTGGATGTATTGTCCTCCCAGAACTCATGTGGAAATCTGATCCCCAATGTGGTGGTGTTGGGAGCTGTTTGAGTGGGGGCAGATCCCTCATGAATGGATTAATGCTCTCCCTGGGGGATGGGGGTAGTGAGTGAGTTCTCACTCTATTAGTTCCCACAAGAGGTGGTTGTTTAAAAGACCCTGGCACCTCCCCCTCTCTCTCTTCCTCTTGCCATGTGATCTGCTTGTACCCACTGCTTGCCTGCTGCTTTCTGCAATGAGTAGAAGCAGCCTGAGGCCTGTGCCAGATGTAGCTGTCCTGGAATAGTAAGCCAAATAAACCTCTGTTCTTTATACATTGCCCAGTCTCAGGTATTCTGTTATAGCAACACAAAATGGACTGATACAATGGTGATTGTACAACTTGATAGTTTTAATTTTAAAAATCATTGACTCATACATGTGAAAAGATATATTATATTATATAGAGTTATTTTAAAAATACAAATAAAGCTGACATGAACATTATTATACATGCCTTTTTGTATGTACACCTAACTGTGGAATTTCTGGGTCCTAGGAATGGCACTTGCTTAGATTTAGTAGGTACTGCCAAACAGTTCTCCAAAGTTTTTATACCAATTTACCCTCCCAGTAACAATATCTAAAAGCCCCAAGTTCTCTACATTTTGCCCAAATTTGGAATAGTTAGACTTCTTAAATTTTAGCCATTGACAATTTTCTTTATATAGTAACCATTTTTTTGTTTTGCACGTGTGTGTGTGTTATATACATATTTCACCTATTTTTGTGTAGTTCTCATCTTACTTATAATATTGTTTATGTTTTTGTTTGTTGGTTTGTTTTTCTTAATGTTTTTTATTATAGTAAAATATACATGTCATAAAATTTACCATTTTAACTATTTTTAAGTTTACAATTCAGGGGCATTAAGTACATTCACATTGTTGTGAACCATCATCACCATCTATCTTCAGAACATTTTCGTTTTACTGAACTGAAAATTCCTACCAATTAAACAATAATTTCCATTCCCTCCTGCCCCTAGCCCCTGGCAATCACAATTGCACTTTCTGTCTCTATGAATTTGGCTGCTATAGATATCTCACATAAGTGGAATCATACAGTATTGCATGTGGCTTATTTCACTTAGCATAAAGTTTTCAAGGTTCATCCATGTTGTAGCATGAGTCACAATTTCATATCATATTGTTTATCCATTCGTCCACCAATGCACAGTTGGGTTGTATCCACCTTTTAGCTATTGTGAATAATGCTGCTATAAACATGGGTGTACAAATATCTGCTTGAGACCATGCTTTTGACTTTTTGGATATATACCCAGAATTGGAATTGCTGGATTATATGGTAATTCTATGTTTAATGTTTTGAGGAGCCACCAAACTTCTTTCCACTGTGGCTGCATCATTTTACATTCCTCAGCAATGCACAGGTGTTCTAATTTTTCCACATCCTCACCAACACTTATTATTTTCTGCGTTTTTTTTTTTTGATAATAGCTGTCCTAATGGGTGTGAAGTAATATCTCATTGTTGTTTTAATTTGTATTTCCATAATTAGTGATGTTGAGCATCTTTTTACATCCTTATTGGCCACCTGTTTCTCTTCTTTGGAGAGATCTCTATTGAAGTCCTTTGCTCATTTTTGAATTGGTTTGTTTGTTCTTTTGGTTATTGATTTGTAGGAGTTATTATATATTCTAGATATTAATCTTCTATCAGATATATTATTTGCAAATGTTTCCTCCTATTCTGTGGGTTGCCTTCTAATTCTGTTGTTAGTGTCCTCTGATGCACAAAAGTTTTTAATTTTGAAGAAGTCCTTTATCCATATTTTTATTTTGTTCCCTATGCCTTTGATGTCATATCTTTTTTGTTTTATGTAATGAAACACATCATTCCCCTTATGGTTTCTGTGACTGCGTGTATGACTCTGAGGACTCTACAATCTTAAAAGTAGATGAAGATACTTTCTTTTTGTCCTTTATAATAGTTTAGTTTAACTGTATAATATATTTAAATAACAATGAATTTTACTTTAAAATTACATTCTTGGAGAGCATTTTAGGACATTGGGATATCCTGACGAGAGGAAAAAGTTTATAAGGTTTATAAAAAGTCTATCCAGTTTTATTTTTAAAAGCCTCCAGCCTAAAACACAAACATGTGTATAAACAAGTTAGAAAGGACGAAAATGCCCACATTGATGCCCTAAGGGTTGTGAGATTACTAGTGATTTCTGTTATACTGTAAAAATTTCTTCATTTTCTAAAATGAGCTTATATGGTATTTATTATCAGAAAACTACAGGAATGTTGCAACTTCAGAACCAGAAAAGGAAAACTTGGAATGGATGGGACTCATAACTATGGAACTACCAGACTAAGACATGAGCCTGAAAATTGAACTTTATAAATACCGTAATGCTATGCAGTATACAGAAATAAATAAGTGAAAAGAAAAATTTACTTACAAACTGACAGAATCTGGAAATAAATACAACAATATGTAAACGGTGTTTATCTCTGTGACAGTAATGCAATACAAATTATTTTTTAAATCTGGAAAATAATAGTCACTTTAAATTTTTTAAATTGTTCAACTAATAAATGATCAGAATTGGAAATATGGACAAAATAGACATCACTAATGATTCTTACCTAGAAGAAACTTTTAATTATTGCATTATATTACATTTTATAAATATTCTGTCATATTTTTAACCATCTCTTTAATGCTGAGAGTTAGATTATTTCCAATTAACTCAAAAGTATCGAGCAGAGGTTATGATTTTTAAAAATAAATTTTATTTTATATTTTGGCTTTTCTATTTTAAATTTCCAGTGGGTCTTAAAGCCAGCATCAAGAAAGAGGAAGTGGAAAGTCAGTATTAGGACTGAAGTCATTGATAACCCACTCAACTGGTTTACTGTCTTGTGTGTTCACTAGTCATATATTTGGATACACCATATTGGCTCTTCATCACAGGACCTCCTTCAACCCCACCTCCATCTCAGCTCTTCCTTCTCCCCCCACAGAAAATGTTACAGAATTTTCCAAACTGAAATCGTATAGCTTATCAAAAATACAGAAAAACAGAATATGGAAAATATAAATCACTGGCAGTCACACCACCCAAAGACCATCGATGCGAATTTTTGGTGTTTTTAAACTTAGCGTCTCCTGATAAGTTCCTCCACCACCCACCTCTCCCCTCCCCAGAGCCCTCTGCTAAAATCACAGAGATTGATTTAGGATGGGTGGGTGTCTTGTCCTCTCCCACTGTCCAACATTTTAGTTGCTAGTTTTCTCTTAGCTCTTTTGAAATTATAAAAGTATAATGTACTTTAGCTTATATACGAATAAATTAATAAACAATAGGTTTCTAGAAAACTTCGCGGAGGGGGTGGATGGAGGATGAGTGGGAGGTGTATGAAACAGCCATATTAGAGAACCTGGAAAGGTGAACCGAGTTGGAAACTTGATAGATCTAATAATTTATTGGCATAATGCTTGTCAATCAACTACAGCTCAGCAAATGAGATTAGAGCAGAGTTATGGGCGGGAAGGGGATGACGCAGCAAGTTATTTGCACCACGAGCATTTAGCCAAAAGACAGCTGCGTAATCGTATTGCGGCGACGTTTTCTTTTCTTTTTTTTTTTTTTCCAGCAGTAGTTGCTTGCGGTGGAGGTCGGCACACTGTGGCTCTGCAGTCTTTGGCCCGCTCCTGCACGACTGGTCACGGCAGACATTGCCGCCCTCTGCACTCTAGCCCAGGCTGCAGCTGCTTCTGTCCAGCTCTCAACAGCCTCACTCAGCACCGCCTTTTATCCCCGCAGCATCCTTTACCGTCGTTCCCGCAGTCCGCCCGCCACTGCTCGTTCGACCTCTGCCTCGGCTACCGCCGCTTCTGTTATTTCGGTGAGTTTTTTCCTGCAGAGGTCAGGTCTCCTGTTCTCGGTGGTAGCCACCTTAGTCGTGTACGTTCCTTTGAAAAATGGCCGAGTTAGCCGACCACAAGGGATTGTCAGAATCCAGTCAAAAAGAGGCTGGCCATAAGATAATGATGGAGGGGACCGGGGAACATCGGGAGCGCGGTGAAGAGGCCACCGCTGGGTCTGGAGACCACCGGGAGCGCGGTGAAGAAACCGCCGCTGGGCTCAGCGGAGAAGGGGGGAAAGGTGAAGATGTTGCTGCTGGGTTGGGGGAAGACGGGGAAAAAGGTGGAGAAACTGATGAGGACTCAGACCCAGAAAGTCCAAAAGGACTTATCGGTTATCTTTTAGGTACAGACTTTGTTGAAAGTCTGCCAGTGAAAGTTGAGTATCGTGTGTTAGCCCTTAAAAAACTTCAAACTAGAGCGGCCAATTTAGAATCCAAATTCTTGAGGGAATTTCATGACATTGAAAGAAAGTTTGCTGAAATGTATCAACCCTTATTGGAGAAAAGACGTCAGATCATCAATGCGATCTATGAACCCACAAGAGGAATGTGAATATAAATCAGACTCTGAGGACTATGATAACGAGGACATGTATGACGAGGATGAGATGTATGGTAATGAGAAGGGTATGGTACATGAGTGCGCGGATGAGGAGGATCGTTATGAGGACTATTATTATGATTATGTTGTGGAGGAAGAGGAGGAGGACGACGACGACAACGACACAGAGGCTACCGGAGAAGAGAATAAAGAAGAGGATCCTGAGGGAATTCCTGATTTTTGGCTGACTGTTTTAAAAAACGTTGACACACTCACTCCTTTGATTAAGAAATACGATGAGCCTATTCTGAAGCTCCTGACAGATATTAAAGTGAAATTTTCAGATCCTGACGAGCCTCTCAGTTTCACACTAGAATTTCACTTCAAACGCAATGAATATTTCAAAAATGAGCTGTTGACAAAGACCTATGTGCTGAAGTCAAGGTTAGGACATTATGATCCCCATCCTTATAGGGGAACTGCGATTGAATATTCCACAGGTTGTGAGATAGATTGGAATGAAGGAAAGAATGTCACTTTGAAAACCATCAAGAAGCAGCAGAAGCATCGAAGCTGGGGAACAATACGAACTGTGACTGAAGATTTTCCCAAGGATTCATTCTTCAGTTTCTTCTCTCCACGTGGAATCAGCTCAAATGGAAGACATAGAAATGATGATTTTTTACTTGGTCACAATTTACGTACTTACATAATCTCAAAATCGGTATTATTTTTCTTAGGTGATGCACTTGAATCTCAGCAGGAGGGGGTAGAGAAGTTAATGATGCAATTTATGACAAAATTATTTACGATAATTGGATGGCTGCAATTGAGGAGGCTAAAGCCTGTTACAAAAATCTTGAGGCATTGGTAGAAGATATTGATTGCTAAAGCAGAGTATTACATAGCCTTGAAATTAACTGCCCTAGTTCTAGTTACTCAAGATATAAGAAGTATTGTGTTCTTTTTTTTGTACTGTCAGTTAAAACGCATGTTTCAGAAGAAGAAAGTTCAAATACTAATTAATTTGACCTTGCATTTTAGCAGTAGAATGTTTTTAAGAAATGTAAACTGTGGTAAATGATTTAAGACATTAATATAGTATTGTGTAGTTTAATCCTTCTGAAGTCCTTTTGTCATGTAGCTATTAATCTGTGGCTGTGAATATTATCAGAAATGCTAAATGAGATCAATATTTATTTGGAAAGAAAATCTTGGGAACTAACCCAAGCATTTTTGCTTTTGTTTGTTTTTTGTATTTTTGTTTTCTTAGTCCTTTAGCTAGTGGGTTTAATTTTATTGTGCCTGCTTCATTTTGCAATAGAAATATAACAACCACAATTTTTTTTTTTTGAAGTTCTTACAACAAGCAAATGGAGGGGACACACTTGGGTGGGAGGGGGGAGAGGGAGGAGGGAGGGAGGTTTCGGTGATGGGACATAATAATCAACTACATTGTATATTGACAAAATAAAAATAATAAAAAAAAAAGAAATGCGGTAGAATTTAAAACTTGAATGCTTAAGAAGAGGCCTGTGTATGGTTAAGAATTTCAGGCAAAACCACATTTATTATTAATGACAGCTTGCTCATAAGCTCTTGTATTTTACGGGACTGTGATAAATAATAAAACTTAGTGGATTGAGGTTATTATTTATTCAGTGAAGTATTAATCACAGTATTTTCAAAAATTTGCACATAATGTTCTGTGTAATTGTGTAAACCATGATTACAATGTATAATTCTCTTTTCCTATAGTATACTGAATCATTCATTGAAAGTGATCATTTTACCATCTTGAAAAGATATTTCGTGTTCTTTCAGTGCAAAATAAAATTAATAACAATTTCATTGTTTCATGTTTAAAAAGTGATCTTTTTTTCGATCATAAAAGTACTATGTTCATTGGAGGACATTTGGAAAGTACTAGAAAAAATACATTAATTAAAGACAAAATCCATATACCCACTTCCCCAAAAATAAGCATGTTAATATTTTGATTTATTTTCTACACTTATTTTTGTAGATGTTAATACATGCATGCAAATTTACTAACACTATACTAAGATGTGCAAAGAAAGTGTATCTTTTTATTGCTTATAACTGATCTAATCTTAATTCCATGTCTATTTTCAGGGTAGCAGGGAAACAAAAGCCTTAATTTTAATCAATGCAATAAACTCTTTGCTATTTAATAACTTCAATTTGCTATAAATAACAGACTCCTGTGTGTTAGTGTGTATTTCACATTTCTCACCTACCCTTCCACAATGTCATCTGGATGTATAGGGGCTTACATTACTTAATGACACTGGGAGGATGCACTCACCGGGGACAATGAAATGTGGTTGGTCAGACCTTGTCCCAGAACTGCCTTCCTCACATTCTTGGCCCTTCCATGTCACATTAGAGCTGAGAGTGGCTAGGAAATACTCACTCTGTCTCTTAATTGCTGCCTGTCCACTCTTCTATCCCATTTGGTTATGATGTACTTTCACAGAGTTACAAACCAAAAGTGGAACAAAAGCATCTCCCCTGGTCACTTATTCTTCCACTATTGAACATGCGTTGTCCTCCAGATTTTGGTCCAGAGAGGTAAGTTTGTAACATTGCCTATGCTTCTCTTATTTCTGTTTCATCTTTCTACAGTCAACTGGAGAGGAAGGTATGAGTTTTTTTCTCTACATCTCCCGTCTAGACAGGACCCTCCTCTAATGTTAAATCTTTCTCCTAGGAATGATGGTAGATATTCATTTGCTTTTCTCTGGGGTTGACAGAATACAAGCAGACAACTTACAAATATAAGGAAATTTAAATCAGGAGATACTTCCAATGTATACCTGGTAAATATAGACTTCTTCATACCATTAATCTTGACCTTTATGAAATTTCTCTCTCCAAACCCCTCCCACACAAAAAGATTGGGCACCTTTTAACTGTGGCTACTGTTATTGTGTATGAAAAAGTCAGGAACATAGGGGTATCTTTCCTGTTATTTAACAGTGGAGGCCAAGGCAGCTTGAAGTCTCTCCTGTCTATTTCTCTTGCCTCTATGAGATAGAGCAGTAAAGGTTCTTCGGGGTTTGTTTTGAGGGCAGGCCAGGCCCCTTTGCTTTAGTTATCATGTCAGTGACCTCCAGCCAAAGGCAGGGACACACCTACAGTTGAAAAAGTTGGGTTTATTCCTCATTGTAGTAAGGCAGAACACACATTATGGGGAACCACGAAATGTATCAGTAAGTGGATGTTAGAGAAAACATTACAGGATTTTGGCTTTGGTTGTATTATTTGGTGAAGGTCCTAAGGAAGTGGGAGTTTACTGACAGAAAGTGGGGGCAATTTTATGATTGGTAACTCAATAATTCATATTTATGGGTAGGGGAGACTAGAACAAGGACAAAGGTATAATTGGTAAAGAAATTGTAGCCAGTCATTTTAGCCTGAGTGGGGGGAGCGTGGTATTTTGTGGGTGGCACAGTGACCTTGTTTTAGTCTGTGCTTAGACAAAATTAAGTGGTCATGCGTTGTCTTATTTCATCAGTCCTAGGGTAACCTGTCTGAGGTTGCTATTCTATGACATGGTTTATGTCCAATAAGAGAGTAGCATGGCCTAGCTGCAAATGCCAGACAAGCTTCCTGATGTTAGGGACTCCTTTTCATTTTTCTTTCTTTTGCCTCTTATTAGGGAATACAATTTGAGGCTCTAATCGCTCACATAGATTATGGTGGGATGGAAGTTCACTCGATTTGGATTTAGTGTAGTGCAAAGGCCCTTTAGGCCTTGAAGGTAGGCCACTAGCTTCAGTCCACATACTAGACAGCCCTGTACTAGGGTTTGGGACCCATGTGTGACAAAAAAATAGAATTTATGTTATTTGGTCTTTAACAAAAGAATCATTCTTATGGTCTTGGAGGGGTCGCTGAGGTGGCTGTTGGGCCTTATCAGAATTTTGGTATTTTTAGGGACTATACTGAAGTACATAATTACAACAAAATTACATTTTTGGATATACAATAATTTATAGTATAAATTACAGTATTCATTATTATATATCATATGGAAGAGTGGCTAGTCTTTGAAGTCAGGCTTCCTGGATTCAAATCCTAACTCTAACTTACTAGTTGGGTGACCCGTGCAAGTTACTTTATGTATCTTAGTTTTCATATCTGTAAAAGTATGATAATAATTGTGCATCTACCTCATAAGATTATCATGAAGAATCAATTACTTTATATAAAGTGCTTAGAACTATGCATGGCATATCAATGCTATATAGGTGTAACTATCTTTATTATTTTTATTACTAAATTTACATCTGTAAAAAGTTCAAAACTGGTATACAGTAAGGGTGCAGTAATTTCTTATTAAATTATTCATAATTGCTTCCCTAATTTGTTTCTATTTTAAACAAAAGTGAAAGCTCATACTATGCATTTTATTAACAGAATCTCCAAGATACCTGCAAGTGTTAAGAAGTGCTAAGTGTCAAGTTTAGCAGCAAAATTTAAGTTACTGACAAGACTGGCTACTAAAAAGTTAAATAAATTGACTATGGTGCTACTTCCTCACTGCAAAGTACATTCATTAGCTTAATACTCATGATAAGCCATTTGTTCACTTGCCAATAAATGTATCATGATACTCATTTAAAATATTTGGAAACCAGAGAAAAACAATATACAAAATATAAATCACATAAAATTATATGTTATCCATAGGTATATAGCAGATTTGACTTCTCAGATACTACACAGGTATATGCAATATGAAGCTCATTATTCTTTTTTTTTTTTTTTTTAGGAAATAAATTTCATTTATTTGTAAACTACCCAGTTTCAGGTTTTCTGTCACAAGCAACAGAAGTGGACTAACACAACACAGGAGAAAAATAGGAAGTGTACCACACATTTTCATGTGTCTGTCATCTGTCCATCCGTGCATCCGTCTGTTTACTCTAAAGTATTTTCTGTGTGCAGGGCACTGTGTGCAAGCTTCTGAGACAATGCCTAAGATGCAGCCCTGCTTTCAGAGATGTTATGGAAATCCTTTTCCTGCCAGTGTGTGTGTGTGCAGGGGGACAGGAGAGAGAGCTTTGAAGGGGTCTTTACTAGTCAGCAGTAGAGGCACTGCTAATTAATTAATTAACAACCAGCAAATGGTATCCAGTGGTGAAGCTCATTATTCTAAAGCAGAAAGCCTTTTAAAAACAAAGAGTAAGTTTACCAGGAACATATCTCTGAAATGTATTTTCTTCTAATTATTTGCCAAATAATACAGTGTTTTAAAGTAAAAGAGAAAAGAATGTTCAAAATGAAACAGCTCTGCTTTGTTAAAAACCGCACTGATGATCCATGTGTTTATCTATTCTCGGGGTGTTTTAACTCAGTAGAAACTCTCAAGGTCATGCAGCAAAGGAGCAAACCACTCTACCCCTTCTCCCGCATCTCCACTCCCCCACTGGCTCTCTGCCCGCGAACGTGTGTGTTTGCGTACGCTCTCGCGTGGGATGGGGCATGAAGCGGCATGGGAGTGCTCGAGAAGCGGTGGTCATTCGTCATAAAAGACCCCAGCCCTGGTAACATTTCTGTCCCTGGGCTTGTGCTTGCTTACATAGGGTTAGGAGGGAGGAGAGAAGAGGTTGAATCCTCAAGGAGTTCCACTTGCCCTAGTTTTTAAGTTCCTTTGGTCTCTGAGCGGGTGGGTGCGCGTGCGTGCGTGTATGTGCATGCGCTCTGGCCAATAGTAATGGGTGTATCATCGTTCAGGGCTGGGTGTTTTATTCAGCCTTGTTCTATGTGTAGAGGTACATTTGGTCTGTCGCCGGTGAGAAGAGAGGCTATCCTTGCTGAGGTGTATAGGGGTCGGATGCCATAAGCGGCTTTGCAGGAGTCCAAGAGTGAAGGCGTGTTTTCCCACCTTGAAGTCAAGGTTCTGTTGTCTGCCAGCTAAAGCAACGGAACAGCAGAGTGTAGGGAAGGATAGGTGGCAGCG